CCGTAATAAAATTACACTAGCGTTTACCACCTCCTAATTTATACTTTAACAGCTCTGATCTTGTGCCATCCCCTCTGTGCTCTAGCTCTAACGAACCTGGAAATATCGACCATTTTTTTCTTACATGTCACCGTTTTAAAAAATCAAGGGAGAAAATATTTCAAAATTTTACTTAAGAAACTCAAAATTTGACTTGGTACTCCAACTATTTATTCGTTTATTTAGTTAATTTATTGATACTGCAACCCCTTCAGCAGTTTGGAGGGTGGGAATAGATACAATGCGTGAACAAAAATACAAATAATTTATGTACAGAAAGATTATAATGATAATCGTATTATTGCTAATAATATTAGTATTATCATTAATAATAAACAAAAAAGAAAACAGACACAATCAATAAAATTAGCTAATTCATGTTCAGTGACCAAGGAAAGCATTTACCATAGGTGCAAATGAAACAAAGCAACATGCAAGGGAGATGCAAACAGACAGTAACTATAAAAAACTGATCATGTTTCAGTACTCAAGAAACAATGAGAATGCTGAGAAAGAAGTTGCTTCAACGATGTTGTTGGTAAGGTTATTTCAATGTGTGACTGTTCTCGGAAAATAAAAGAATACTTGAAGCAGTGGGGATGAAAACGGAAAGGAGTCATTGTTTGTTTGTGTCTTTGGTGCGTTAAATAACCAAAGGAGAACGAAATCCATCCGCTAACGTGGACGTTATAGTGCCCCTTGATTAACTGGTATAAAAAGTTTAAGCGTGATGAGCGGCTTCTTTCGGCTAAGGGCTTTATGTAAGCTCGAGCTTGCAGGTCAGGTAATGAGCCGCGTTTGAAATCGTTATAAATGAACTGTATAGTTCTTTTTTTGGACGTTTTCTAGCTTCAGAATATTACCTTTTGTATAGGGGTCCCATATAACAGCAGCATAGTCTAAAACAGGTAGTAAAGTGGAATGGTATGCTAACTTTCTTACTGCAGGGGTAGCTAAAGTTAACGTTCTTTATGTGCATCTAAAAATTCGACGATGTGTTTATGTATAATGTGCTCTAAGATTTTGCTGCTGCTAGACGTTGAAGATAGAGGTCGGTAATTTTCTATACACTGTTTTGCACCACGTTTACGAAGTGGGATCACTCTGGCTGTTCTCTAGTCATTTGGGAGTTGGCCGTCTTCTAATGAACGCAAAAACACAATGTGCAAGTATTTTGCAATCCGTTCGGGACATCTTTTCAGGAAAGCGTTGGGTATATCGTCAGGGCCGGAACTTTTCATTCAGCTTTAAAAGCATGTTTAAGATTCCCTACTCACTTGTTAACGCATCAAAAATGGCGGGTCAAGAGTTCTCCGAAACAGGTAACGCACCATCATCACAGGTACAAAAGGAGTGGAAATGTTCATTAAACTAAATAGCAATTTTTGTCCATTGAGCCTGCTTGATTAGAATTCAGTGACAGAAGCATAGGCGGGGCCCTCTGTGAATTTCTATATGACACAAGAAGATTACTTTACTCAGCCATTGATCATCTCGAAATGGTATTCACCAAGTTGTAATGTACTATTTCATTATTACACTGCATTTATTTAACCTACTGAAGAATTATGTTTTATGATTATGCCTCAGTTATTCAAAACATCCTGCTATTTCTCTTTTTTCACTTTTTTGTCACAATGTGCCAAAATAATTTCGTCCGCTGAAAACAGAGTAATCATCTTTTCCTGGTCTGCACAATCTTAAATTGTTAAGTTACAATAGGCGCCGCCTTTTTGGCTGATCCCCCTTTGTATGTAAGAACCACAAAAAAAAATCAAGCAAGCAAGCGCACCCATACTCAACACAGTATACCAGCAACTCAGGATCAATACATACTAGCATATATCAGCACCTCCAGCACTCTGTTACGTACAGGAAAGGTTTAATGAGCTGCGGCGTACCGGTAGGCTTGAACGTGTCGGACCAACGCGCACCGGAGACTTGCTTGCTTGCTTGCTTGATCCTATTTCGTGGCTCTCACCCACTAAGGGGGATTGGCCAAGAAGCCGGCGGTTAATATAACTCAATATCTTAAGAATATCTAGGACAGGGAAATAGGATTACTTTGTTTTGACTTGGCGGGAATATTTTTGGCACAATGTGAAAAAAAGTAAAAGAAAAGAAGTAATAGAATTTTTGAATAGCTGAGGTGTAATGATTATATGAAATTCTTTTGAAGGTCAAGTCATTACAGTGTAATTGTTAAATATTGAATGTTATATTGGGTAGTAAAAATCGAGAGCTGAGTAATGGCTCAGCAAGGTGATCTTGTGTTACATAGGAATTCGCAGAGAGCCCCGCCGATGTTGTCGCTGAGTCCTAATGAAGCAGCCCCTAAGGACAAAATAATAGGAGTAGTAAGTGATAATCGTAGTTTTTAAATAAAATTTTTAAACATTTTTTTTATTTTTAAAACGGTGGCATGTGAGAAGAAATTAGTAGATATTTTTGTGTTCATTAAAGCTGCAGCATAAAGAAAATGGAACCAGACCAGACCTGTTTAGGTAGAAATTAGGAGGTGGTACACGGCAACGTATTTTGTTATGGAGACTTACAATTTACGCGTGGGCCACCATTTATTATTCTATGTGAAGTGCAGGTGCGAAAAATCTAGTATCGGTACCGTAGGTTTGCATGATTTTTCAAGAAAGGAAAGTTTTCTGAACCTCGCTGCTGTTACATAAGCTGTAAGAAGCATGATTGGCACAATCGGAAGATCGAGGGATGTTCGCGCGAGCACGTCAGCCATCTTATTAAGTATACTACGATGGCCTGGCACCCATATCATTCGCACTAGACAAGTATTTGCTGGGAATAATGATTTCAAAGTTTTTATTACTGCTGATGCCAAAGACGATGATAAAGATGGACACACAGAATAAGCGTCAGTCACTATTATAGCTGTCGAACGAGTCACAGGAACTTAATGAAGAGCTAGTAGAACGGCCGGTAATTCCGCTTCAAATATTGGTGTATAATCTGGGAGGCGTATTGAAAAGGACCAGAATGATGAGGAAAAAAAATACCCAGACCTGCTTTCTCACCACTCATAGATTCATTCGTTGCACTTACTATATTAGTACCTGATCGAGACAGGTATTGTTCTAACCACTCAATCAAATATTTAGAGGGCAAGTGTTTAGCATTCGTAGGGAAGATATGGTCAAATTCTATTTGCACTTTGCCGATTGGTTTGTCAGATGGTATGATCTCGAGTATATTCGCATTTAAAGCATCTAGAATTGTTTGAAGAAATAGCACTTGAGATTTATATGCACGGGACCAATTCTCAGTGAAAATAATACTGGGCTCGGCAAAGAATACGAACTTGTTAAAGTGGATTCATAAAAATTTAATAGGTTTTAACTATTAAAATATGGAATCAGCACTCAAGGATGGGTATCCGAGCTTCTTGACACAAAACGTTCTTAGCTGTCAATTTAGCACACCTAGACAACTTCGAAGAGCTTCCCTTATCTCGCTTCCCAGTGTCCTCTTCTACTCCCACTTCTCTGTTTCCCACTACACAGATGCTCATACCCAGTGTCGAGGATGACGACTTGTGTAACCTGGGTATTTTTGGCTATCTATCAAGCGTTCTTGATATTCTTGTTTTAGTAGTTACCTCCATGCCTAGAAAGTTCATTTCACTCGAGAAATGGCTCATAGTAAATTTATTACTAAGGTGAAACGCGTTCCAACGGTCAATGACTGTGTTTAGAGCGCCCATGGCATATTCCAATGTGATAAATATGTCGTCTTTAGGCCCTCCACAGAGCCCACAATGTGGCCATCATGCTTAACCTGCCTGTCCGAACATGAGAGAAGCGCACAAGTGTTCAAGGTTCTGCGAACTGGTTATCGCGTTATACTGAAACCTGTATACGCCATAAATAAAGAAAAAAATTGCCGAGCAGACCCACAGAAGAGGAAAGAGCACTCTGTTTTCTTGTGTATGGCTGCTCGGCCATTTTTCTTTCTGTTATAATGTGCTATACCAGTTGCAGTACGAGAGAAGCCAACTGTTCGCTAGTCGCGTTTCCCAGGACTTGAAGTATCGTTTCTGCATACATCCACTGATTTATGTGGAAAAGATATTTAGAAAGCTTTGCCGAATAATATGTTGAAAGCTGTACTTCTAACCAAGCAATGAACATTTAGGCATATATTGTTTTAAAATGGGTTCCAATGCTAGTTACAAAAGTATATTGGTGGCAGGAAGACTCAAATTCAAAATAATTACGCACTAGAACGAAATTGAGCAACCAGGGGTAAAACTCAGTATTGTGGGTTTTCTTGCTTTCTATGAGTGATTTTGACACCGCTTTCATAGCTTCTGTGATAGATACGTTCGGATACAGGGAGCATGTGTTTATTGTTCACATCTACCACATTCATCAAATGTAAAGACACCTAATTGTACACTAGTCAGAACGTCGGCTCCAGCGCACACCCTGTTTACCAATTTTTCATCACGAGCTCCCTCGTGGCACTAACTCCTGTCGTTTTTTTTCAGGCTTTAAATATATATTTAAAGCGTGCTGTAGCACACATTTGCTACACCATGTAAAATTAGGGATTATGAGTAGCTCACCAAAATATAACAATAACAATATAGTAGTACACCAAAATACAACAATCACAATAGGTAGTAACAACGTAACTGACTGAGAATACCAGGGTAACCTATTAGTTCTGCAAGATGGTCTTGGCTTTGGCAGGGTTGTCTCCTTAAACCTTGCTAAATGAGCGGTAGTTGTTTGTACATGCCCTATCGCTACCTGTTAATAACAAAAATACCAGCACAGAAATACTGAGTATGTTGTGAAGCGTGCGTGCTTTCTTGGCTGTCTACTTCATTTAACAAGAAATACTTAGTCTGTCGTTGTAATACGCAAAAAAAAAACAGAGGTCCACAGACAAATGATACTTTTTTGTATAAAAAATGACATCTAACTTACCGAAACACCGGGAAGCACTCCCCCTGTAATCCATATGTTCTCTGTGCTGGTTTCAACAAGATCTCTCTGACTTATGTAGTCGGCGATGTGTTGCCGAATCACTGGATTACCGCGGACAATGACTGAGCCTACAATGACACAATGAAAAACTGTTGTGCAGTAGCCAATATAGCACACCAGCATGCACAGGTTTTAATAATAATAATTATAATAATAATAATAATAAGAAGAAGAAGAAGAAGAATATACTTTATTGTCATCTTGAATTATACAAAACAAATAACTGGTCTGCCAAAGACAGACAGTGGCTTGGAGGTCTTGGCCCGGCACATCGGCAGACGAGAGATGACATATATATTGAAAAGCTTTTCATGTAAACAATCACAGAAAAAATGCATGTAGCTTATTTACGCTACATATAAACACAATAACAATCGAGAATCAAATTAGCGGAAGCAATACTACCTACACAGCAGAAATGTGAAGACAAGCATTGGAAAAATTTAAACAGATTATACCCAGTATGCAAGAAACTAGAAAAAAAACTAGTAATGCGATAACTGATGAAGCATTAAAGAGACCTTAGGCTCTTTCGTAGACTGCGTTTAGTCGTTGCCGAAAAAACACTGTCGCGGATATCATTAAAAATAGTAGGGACATAGACCTTTCTAGTAGCTTTGTCATATCCTGCTTGGACAAATGGTACAGAAAAGTGGGCAGTTTTTCACATATGAGGGGTAATGCATTCCTTCTTAAACTAAGAGCCCCTGAAATGGCGTAATACAACAGTTTGGTTAAAGGACGCTTTGAAAGACGGCAGGCGAAGTAGAGAAAATAAATTTAGATAGTCTGTTGAAGAACGATTATAAACAATGGATTTCAACATACTTTTTAAAACATTGTCAACCCGACGCTGCCATCGTGAAGAAAAGAATAATAATAATACTTTATTGTACACATCCATAAGAAATACAAAGAAACGGGCCTGTCCAAGTCCCCAGGTCTTGTGCGACTAGGCTCGGCCGCGCCGGTTACAGTGATGTGGATACAAAATAACAAAACTATTGTTGTTGCCTTACCAACAAACAGACAAACGATTGACACCCTACTTTTTTACAGGCAGTAAATAAAAAAGAGGAACAAAGGACGGACACAGAGCATACGTGGCATACAAATAGACCATGTGATTTTACAGCTCAGCGAGTAATTTTTTTAATTGTAGAGGCCTCCTCCATGGCGTCTCTCATAAACATGGTTTTCCTTGGGCAAAAAGATAGACATGGTAATTATAATGGGATTATATTATTATTATTATTATTATTATTATTATTATTATTATTATTAAAATGTCTTTTTGTCCACGAAACACTATGAGAGACGCCGTTGTGGAGGCTTCTGCAAAACTTGACCATCTAGTATGGCTTAGCATGCACTGTCATCACGCAGCACACGGGCCTCAACCATTTTGATTTGAAACTGATTCACCATGGCGGACAGGTTTCAATTGTAATGTTTTTTGATTATTTTACTGTAGCCAGAAGTCAAAATGACGTGGATTAGTATGATATCGTCACAAGTTCGCAAAAAAAGTTCTACGGTCACTAAAGATCTTTTACTAAATGCTGATCGCTTGCGCTGCTTGATTGATACAAAGGGTTTACCTTTACAAAACCACCGTATGAATATGAGAGACGCCGTAGTGGAAGACTCCGGCGATTTCGATCACCTGGGGTTCTTTATCATGCACCCAAATCTGAGCACAAGGGCCTGCAGCATTTCCGCCTCTATCGAAAATACACCCGCCGCAGCAGGGATTGGATTTCGTGACTTGTGGGTCAGCAGCCTAGTACCTTAGCCACTAAACTACTGCGGTGGGACACACTGCGGTGGGAGACGGTGTTCATTGTGTGATATTAACCCTCTAAAGGAGCAGCAAGAAGCTAGCTTTTTTCTGATGCAAAGCGTATTGTAAGACCACAGAGCATGAAAAGACAGTTACATGTGGTTCATCTGCAGTCTTTTTTTTCTATTACAAGGCTGGCTTTGTAACTGGCGCTGCGGCAAGTCAATAACTTTGGCAAAGGCTGCCCACGTACTTATGATACAGAGCGTGCTCTCTTCAAACAAGGTTGTTGTACGTATTCTTCCTATGGCGCAATTTGCTGCTAAGGCACTACATGACTTCCTTCTGAAGCTCATTCCTGAACTCGAAGCATCTGGTTTTAGAATAATCACAGGGATCTCAGACAATGACTCCACAAACAGAAAAGCTATCTTTTTCTTCGCTAAGCCCGCAAGTGTCAGCATTGTTTACCAGCAACGTACTGATTCATCTCGACCCTTGTTTTTCGTAGTGGACCCAGTTCTCACACTGAAGTGTATAAGAAATAACTGGCTCAAACAACAAAACAGTGGAAAATGCATGTACTTTCCTGAACCAAAACGAAATGAGGATGAACCAAACATACTTACAGCATCTTTCAAGATTTTGAGCTGGTAGCATCAAGCCGAAAAGGATGAGCTTTTGAATTTAGGGCCAACTCTCATTTTGAAAGCATTAAACTCCTTCAACATGGAAAGAGAGGACGTTATGCTTGAACTAAAGGCTTTTAACTCATCTATTATTGCTGCTCGCAGTAACGCAACGTTCTAGCATGCTAAGTAAAGATCTGAATACAATGACACCATATTGACTTGGTGGAACATTGTTAACGTAAAGATGCGAAGAAAAGGCCTGTGGTTGCGAGATTAATTTCATGGGCCAATAGTATCATCGTTGTGCCGGCAGCTTGAGTTCCCGCAAAAAATAGGGCTGAGTTGCTTGACCACTGGGAAAGAATCCATCACAAAGACCGCTTTCCACGTGAAAAGCCCAGTACCTTAGCCACTAAACTACTGTGGTGGGACACACATACGTTGATACCGTATAAAATAAAGGATTTTGATTGCCGAGGCTTTTACGTCACAAAACCATAATATGTGCGAAAGGTGATTGCGAAACGCAAGACGAATGGAACAGAGGCTAGGAAAAAGCATCGCGAGCGTCTAGGCGTATTTTCAGATAGAGTTCCTTGCGGGCAGGTACGTCAATGCTGCGAAATTCGGGAAGGCTTATAAAGATAAATAGCTGCATAAAAGTAACTTGCAGTGCCTTAACCAATCCAACGAGGACCTAAAAAAAGCAATTTTCTAAGCGCACATAAATTTATTCTAGGCGTGAAATGAATTTCCCGGCATCCACGTTTCATTAAATTCAAACAGAGCAATTTTAGTGACGTTTTTATTCAGGCAACTACGAAGAACACGCATAACCAAACATTAAAGTATTCCCGCTGTCGTTCCAATGGTTTCAGGGAACTATGGTTTTGGCATAGCGTCAATGATTGCGTGCTCACCAAAGACAAGCTTCAAATGCATCAGAGCACTGTAAACACTGGAGGTGTGTGAATATTCCAACATTTGAATAAACAATCTAATTGCGCCTAATCAAGCAGCTGGACATTTTTCAAATATATTTCAATGGCTATCAGTGAGAAGAAAGCCTCAGTAGAGATATCCGTTTGTAGAACTGAGGAGAGTTTTTATCTTCCATTTGTCAATGACCAATATATGTTAAGGTGCATGCTAGACAGACGCAGGTGAAGCGACTCTCATGTCATGCTTTGACAGGTCTTTTGAAGCGTTCCTCATCACTAGGTGAAAGGTTTTTTGCTTGGAACTCCTGTTTCAAAAAAAATTTCTAATTCGTCTTTATTCTCGCATCAATTTCATGAGATCGCCATCGCTCATTCATGATATATTATTTAGCTTTCATGTCTCAGCTATCACGAAGTACGTCCTCAGGTGCTGAAGTAACTGTTGTGGTCAGTATAGAGTGAAGATTCCTCGAAGCCTGCAAGCGCCGCTTGATACGAGTTTACCCAAGTTTGCAGAGCTGTTGTATTTTGCTTTGCTAATTGTAACGGTAATGTTTCTCTGCTACATTTGCGAATACGTTTTTGATATGAGAAGTTGTAGACAGTTAGGTCTGTATAGAACACGGTCACCTTAGTATTCGAATAATATTCGTTACGTATTCGCACTTAATTCAGCATGATCACTTATCGCTTCGTATTCAACTGAATCCAAACTTCACTGATCGTAAACGTTTGTTGAACACGTCAAAATAAAGTGCACATGTCTTATGCGTCGTGCAAAGGTCGATGAAATCGAAACTAAATGCTTGGCGGATTGTGCGAATGAAAAGAACAGACGCAAAAGAAACGAAAGTGCCGGGAACACCATAGGTGTGTAGGATTTTCCGTTTGAGGGAGCGGAGGTGAGGCTTTCAATGCAACCACAGCGTTTATTGCCACAGTGCATCAAAAGACGCCCACCTGCGACACCTAGCGTCGTATGCTTGCAAGTATTCTCTCCATAAAAGTGCGAATGAAGCCCTCCGACAATATCCATTGACCCGTGGTGGACGAATCTTGATACCACGAGGTGTGCAATAGCTTTTCGGTGATCTCCATTCGAGGGGCTGTTCTGACACGGAAGAGGTTCACCATGCCATTATGTCAACATGTTTCAAGACACCTCGATGAAATAGTGCAGCTGCAATATAGTAAGCATTCTAGCCAACAGATGCCAGTACACATAAGGTGCCTTAGGGGCAACTGCATTGCTAAGCAGAATCCCTTAACACATTGTAAAGCTGAGTAATCATATTCTGCTTGAGACCTCAGAAAGGGAAAATTTGAGTACGATATACACTCACAGAATTTAAGGGACTACTGCAAGAGCAGAGAAACTGGATTGCTTTCCCCAGAGTTCTTAAACTCCGTTGGGAATATACCGGCAGAATGGACCACGCAACGTACTCGTTTCTTGAAGGCAGAGTAAAAGAGACTGCGAAGGCTCTGCTACTCAGGTGGAGTTCCTGATCCATGCAACTCTCATGCCGATGAGGCTTAAATGGCGTCAGGCACTCCGTATTTGCTGACGGAGTACAGTCTAGCGCTCGCATGTTACCGCCGACGTAGCAAAGCAACATGACTGTCTCGTAGCCATACGCCTCTGATTTTACACGCACCAGATGTAAGTTTAATGCGTCAAGTTAACAAGATAACTTGCAGTGATAACTAAA